GTAAAGCCATATCGACACTTTTATGGTTGTCCAAAAATCAAATCTCACGAGTTTTTCCGTGTGTTCGTGTAAACCCTGATGAGGAAGTGGTGTGTGATCCTGTTCCAAGAACAGTGTTCTTGGGTCGTGTTCCCACCGTTCGAGCGCAAGATCACGAAGCCCCCGTCCAGAACGGACTGCCCGAACTCGACCAAAGAGTTTTAATTAAAATTGGACAATGTTGGAGTGTACGCATATGCATGGTGTACTGGTGTAAACTACAACGTAAGGCCTCAGCAGCTCAGGCTTACTTCTAGAGCCTGGTTCAGTGGTTGTGCATGGCAGCCATTTTTTTTTTCTGTAAGACCTTTTGTGCTATTAAGCCGATTACTCTTGTTCTGTACCAAAAGTAATTACCGTAAAGGTGGCTGCTACATGTATGTGTTGCTATACACAACCTAGGCTTTAGGCCCTCAGTAAGCCTGATTGCAAGAGGGCCTACCGCATGATTAATTTTAGATTTTTGCCCTGCCCGACGTTTATTGTAATTATATACTCAGTGTTTGCCACGTCGGGCAGGGCAAAAATCTAAAATTAATTAACATCTACCCGGGCAAATCCATCCTTGGAAATACCACATGAGTGATTTTGCGCAATGGTAGAAAGGCATTATGGGAAGGAAAAGGGAGCACACACTCATGACAATTACATTTTGGTATCAGTCGACGTCAGTCAATCCTGAAGGAAATCTCTGACTTTCATCTTTATTTCATAACAGCCTTCCATTGCCACGAATTTGAAAGAGATTGTAAATAGCTGATGGCAGAATTATCGGCAAATTATCATTGCAGTGAGATCAACAGATCAACCAACTGTGCCTGACATTCATGGCCATGATGAAATTACCCTGATAAGTCATGTTAGGCCTAGGACCTTAGCATTTTTATAATCATGTTGCCAACTTTGTTGGCGGTGATCAGTCCATCAGCACGATCGCACTCTCTACTTACATTACAAGTCAAAGTTCTGCCTGGGGTTTTGAATACAGCCCTGTTAGATCAAGTCAATGCTGATCAGGGTACATTTAGGCCCATTTCACTCAAAAAATTCCACAGATTTGACGCGGTAATATTTTTAAGTATCTAACAACACTCAACGTCCCTGCCTGTTCAGTTGTTTTTTGAACAGCTGATGAAAGCTTAACACTAGCTCCGATACTAAAGTGACAAAGCTACGACCAAAAATACACCTGCACAAGGTGGCGTGACATGCATGATACTGGACTGTCAAGTGGCCTGCAACTGTCAGGCTCTCTCCTCTGGGAGAGTGGAGATTAATTTTCCTTAAAGTTATGTCTGTGGGTGTGAAGTAAACGGAGAATCTGCCACATGATGGCTCTCAGTCGCAGAAATTCCTAACATAGATGGACATACATGTGCTTTAGCTTGTATGAAGAGCAACACAGAACAGTCCTGGTCATTGCAGATCTTATTTAGGTTACACACTCTTACTATTCATGACTTAAATAAATATCTCACTGGTATCTTTACGTACAAATTCACCTATAATCTTCTGCCCAACAGTTGCTCTTCTTTCTTTTCTTCAATCCAAGATGTGCTTGGTTATTCTACCAGGTCTCATCACAATTTGTATGTTCCATTCACCCGCACCCTGTACTCTAGTTCTACTCTTCGCTTCTGTTATCCCCGTCTGTGGAACATCATTGATAGGGAAATCAGAACAATGCCATCCATTGGCCGCTTCAAGTCTTCTTACAAAAGAGCTCTCCTCTCACAATATGTTGCAAAGCTTCCAATCCTTAGACAATGTCTTCCTTCATGTCATTCTTTATCTCACCTTTACTCCTGTATCTATTCCTGTTACTGCTCATGTTTACCCCCTTCAACTCTTTACTTCTGTTTTGGATGTTCAGTCTAGTCTTCACTGTTTGTCGCATTTTTCTTATCTGTTGTCAGTGTTTTTGTCCGTCGTCCAGTTGTCTGTCTACAAGCTGTTCTCTACAAGCCCTCGCTTATATGACCAGCTCCATACTTCCTATCTTTTCAAGTTTCCTCTATTTTCTCTTATTATATTACATTGTATTGATGGCTCTTATTTATTTTATGTGTATTCTTGATTCGTATTTTAACGGAAATAAATGTTGTGTTTGTTTTTGAATTCACCATTCTCTTGTAGCACCTGGTTCAGTAAAGCAGCCAGCTGCTAGACGAGAACGAGGGGTGGCAGGCAAGATGTCGGGAGCCGAGCCCAACGTGCATCCCTTTACCTGGTTGGACTATGTCATCTTTTCTGCCATGCTGGCAGTCTCGGCATGCACTGGACTGTACCATGCATGTGCCGGGGAGGGACAGAAATCAACGTCCAAGTAACTAAATCACATTTGCTTGAATAACGATAGCAATAATCCTAACCATGCCAGACGCAGCACAGTGCATCGAGTGAAAAAGTCTGATGCAGCGTGATGCACTGGGTAATTAACAGCAGCAAAACAAACTGGCAATGTTGAGACAATGGGAGCTAGTCCCATTAAACAATGCCACTGTTGGATCTTGTGGTGACTGGCAACCAAAGACTCCCAGGCTGTTTGACCTGGGGGAGAGTTGACCTGTTGAGTCTTGTTACACTGGACAGGCAGTCCACTTTGACCGATGATGCAGCCTGATGTGTCTGGCAGGGTTTCTAGCCAAAGTAGCCTTGGAGGGTTATCCCACATGCATGTGCACAAAATGTGGTGTACTTTACATGCCTGGAACAAATCGAAAAGCATAAATGGACAATTTTTACTGACTAATCATGTTCATTATAAGGCTCATCACAACTCAACTTATCAAGGCATGCATATGCACTGCACAGCTCTGTTTTGTGGTGTAAAATACTTGTTTGACTTTGACGGAACTTTGAGATGCTGTCCGGTTCCAACCAAGAAAAGCTGAAAACTTTTTCTGAATGGATGGTGAACTACTTTGGCGACAATATTACAAAGGAACAGGGCTCGCAAGAACTTGGATTGTCTTCATCTAAGATGTGTAAAGCAATCAAAATATTGTGCAGCTGAGGAAATTTTTACGAAATTCATACCAAACTCTGTGAAATTGGCTGCTGACCCTTTTGTTTGATTCCCTTTCCCACCAGGTTCCTGATGGCTGATCGCAGCATGATGAGTCTCCCTGTTGCCATCTCCGTCATTGCTTCGTATCTCTCGGCGATCACCATCCTGGGCGTGCCCTCTGAGGTCTTTGTCTACGGCATCCAGTACTGGATGGTATGCTGGAGCTTCTTCATCGCCATTCCCGTCTCAGCGCTGGTCTTCATACCAGTCTTTCATGGGCTCGGATTGACAAGTGCATATGATGTAAGTACATATACACATAAACAAATGCCTGGCTATCTTGTAGAAAGACTAAGCTGCCTGCCTTCTGGGACCTCCCATCATTGGGCTTATCAGAAGAGAGATACTAGTGGCTACTGTTCTGGCACCAGACTCACACAAGACTTAATCAAGTTAGACCTACTTTGCTCTTCCCAGTCTGCCATCCTTTCAACCTGTACAAAGTACTCGGTCATCGTGCTCAGCAACTCCCATAACCCTTATAGGGCGCCCTCATTTGATAGCCTTTGTTGTACAACGTGTGTCATACATCACCAGTCAGTAAGTCTGACTTGATGGATAAACCAATCAGATCCCCCGTCAGTGATATGTAGTAATTCATAATTGGATAGGGCGACATGATCTTGCATAATGTATACGGAATTTCCACCAATGAAGTAGTCAGACTTGGCATTTCCGCCACAGTAGCCAGACTTGTAGACTCGTTCATTGTTAAGCAGGTATGAACAATGTAAAAACAAGTCTGGCAATGTGATTGGCTGATACCGCTTGTGGTAGATGAGCCCATTCGCCGTGTAGCGTTAAAAAACCTCGATATCCAAAGCATAAAGGTTTATTCAAATCAATGTCACAGAGGATCCCACCTTGGTCAAGTCTAGATTCACGCATGCCTTCTGAAGCTAATGCATTTGACACATTACAACACACGATTAGTCAAAGAGGAGCGTAATTTTAATTATTCCGTTTGAGTAGAAGTGTACCCCAGCTACAGTAATGGCTTCTAATTCTGGGCACCAAACTAGTCTGTGTGGAACAATCCACGGTCTTAGTGCTAGATACATGTAAGTGAGAACTATCCCCTCCGAGCGGCCATGAAAGACCAAAGAGGGCAGGATGTTAAATAAAAATGACGATCCTTTGGTGGGAACTCATCACAATAGGCGCCCAAGTTGATGCACATTTGGCATGGGGCATGCTGAGTAAGTGCAAGAAATTTATGCCAGATTGCGTGGTTTTTGCATGTGTGCTAAACCCAGGAATCCGGTTGGAAAACTTCTCACCGGCCTGGCTATCTTTCGCCGGTGAGGGCGCACTTCAGCTCAAGATTGATACAGGAAATCAGAAAACTCTAATTCTGAAACACATCGGAAACCAAAATTGCAGGTCTTGATAACGTATTGTTGAACCTAGAAATGCTTAACTGGAATACAGTTTTTTTCAGTGGTAAAATGTTGCGGACGTTTGGTGATAAAGATTTTGTATGACAGTCTCTTAACCCTAACCCTACATAATACTACAAATTACTACTTGCAGTAAAATGTAGTACTGAGCGCTGTCGCTTGCAAGAGGACATGACTTTATTGTTCTGTGAAGCCATGAGATACAATAGATAAGACAATGTACCATGCAGTGCTGTGGCACCATGAATGCATGGCTTTATTGTTCTCTGTACAATTAACAATGGAAGTAACCTAGCCTGAAGTAGTAATCTGTAGCGCTAGGTCCTTCAGGCTCATGCTATTACTTAGTATTTTGTAGTACTAAGTACTGTAAGCCAAACAATATGCTTAGCGTTAATCTATGGAATGCACTGCCGCAGCTGGTATGTACACAGTGAATGGAAATTTTCCTCTTTCAGTGTAATCAAAAAAACTTTCTTCTCAGTGCAGCACTCTTATATAAATGGGGTGAATGGAATTTTATTTTCCTTTGGTTTTACTTTGCTCTTTATTCTACTTGTTGCATTGACATGCCAGAGTACATACTGGTAGGGTTAGAGGCGTTTGTCTCCAGAAACAGTCAAGACATTACTGATGTCAGCAAGGGTAGGGTATTTATTAATGCCCTACTGCCAGGACAGATGTATGCTCACACTGCAGCTTGGGCTCTGGTCTGGTTACCTAACTTCATCGCAACTTTCTCTTTGATCCTTGAATCTGTTTTCATTTCATCCTCCCGTGTCAGAATCTTTTCAGTGTGCTTATGATCACTTTTATGTAAAAGGCGTTAAAAGAAATGTTGAGGTTTTATGATTATTAAGTTTCTCTTTTTGTATATTTGTTATGCAGTATCTTCACAAGCGTTTTAGTCCATTGGTGCGTTCCATTGGTGCGTTGTTCTTCATTCTTCAAACACTCTTGTACCTGGCAGTTGTTCTTTATGCTCCAGCGCTGGCTTTAGAAGCAGGTAAGGTTTGTACACTGTGAGGCTTATGTAGAAAGTATCGCTGCACATTTTTTTTTCTAAGACTGAGGGGAGGAAGGATAGCCATGAACCATTTGTGGTTCACTCTGCAAAAGTGAGTGATAATTTGGCCGAGAGTTACAAGTTTTTTAGAGAATCTTGCGCTGGAAGTTGAAAGGGACCGTCACGTTTTTTACCCATGCAAAGTCCATTTCCCTCAGGATGCCAAATTTTGTGATACATCGAAACGAAAAGCTTGGCTTGCTCTTTAATATGCCAATTTCCCAAAATTTCCGAAGAAAGGGCTTTATGGCACATTTTTGCAGAAAGGGTCGCTTTTTTTTTTCAATTAGTGTGTGCGAACGTGAAAATGACACTTTTGGTAACTTGCTTCGGCCAGACCTCAACATTAATTTTTAAACTACTTGTCCATCTGGCAAGTAGCACTGAAAACTTACTTACTTGAGGTAAGATTGTACTCGCCCAAACCCTGGTGTAGTTGCTCATTGCTTCCCAGTACTGTAAGTTCCTTCTTGGCTACAATACAACATGAATATACATCACCCTCAACTATTTCATGTATGCAGAAAGTGAGCAGGACTCTGATGCATCATTCATGCAAGTTCAGGCAACGGCCATTTCTTAACCACTCGACAATTTTGCCTGGTGTTATATATGCAAAAAGTACACACACAAGTACCAGGCAAAATTAAATGTTGCAGTCACAGACATATGTAAAACAGTCTCCGAGCTCAGCAGCGCCGCGCGTGCAGTAACCAATGAGGTTTGGTACCCAGACACAAGGGTATTTTACGGTTTATTTGTGCATGCATCTTCCCTTGTGTGGAAATGTGCCCTGTTAAATGTACAGTGTGTTTGCTTAATACACGTTAATTTGTACATGTACGCAACAATGCCAAAAATTGTTGTACGTCACATACATGTAGCTGTTTACTTTTTACCACTTTTTTATAAGTTTTTGTGAAGAGGAAAAAACAAATCAAAGATAAATTTGCTGACTGAGAAATGGACACTTTTATTTCAAGAAAAAAGTACCCGTCCATCAGGCAGTTTGTCCTTAATTTTTACTTGCCTGAAAGAAGGCTAATGGGCGGAAAAAAGCAAATGTGACTTAAGAAATATTTGTAGCAAAATCCACTTGAGTTGAAATGTGTTCAACTTACAATTTCTGCAATATAGACATTTGAAACATCACAGATTTTTGTATTCATGTTTGGTTTCATGGCTTCTTCAGTGAAATGTTCCTTTTCTTATTTGCTAATGGCCATCCGTACATTTATCAGCCCCTGGTCTGCAAAACTTGAAATCTGACATAAAAGAGCAGATTGTACAGGGCCCAATTTCATGGCACTGCTTACCACAGAATTCCGCGCTAACGATCTCCATTCTGTGCTAACCGCACTAGCAGAAAAATTCTGCGCTGACTGTTTAAGCACAGAATCCTTAGTTACGGGATGTACACATGCAAACAACCCACAATTCCTCGCTAACCCGTGAAATATGTTGGCTGTAAGCGCAGAATTTTCTGCTACAGTAATCACCGATTTTTCGCTTGCTGTAACCAGTGTCACAAAATTGGGCCTAAATGATGGTTGTTTTTTTCAACCCTTACAGTCCCAAATGCTACAAAGTACTACTTAGTGGTAAAATGTAGTACTCAGCTCTGTCGCTTGTAAGAGGACATGACATTATTATTCTCTGAAGCCATAAAACACAATAGAGAAGACAATGTACCATACAGTGCTGTGGCACTATGAATGCATGGTTTCATTGTTCACTGTACGAGTAACAACGGAATAAACCTAGCCAGAAATAGTAATTTGTAGCGCTAGGTCCTTCAGGCTCAGAGTGTTACTTAGTATTTTGTAGTACTGACTACTCTAAGCCAAACAACGCCCGGTACTGTTAGGGTTAAGGTTCCGATTGAGTGTGTGACAAATTGCCCCAAGTTGAATTCACATGGCTTCATGGCCCAGCACATTGAACATGTATTTTGGACAGTGTAAGGCAAAATATCGGTTTCCAGTCAAAAGAAATTTCTCTCAAGGTTGTACAATGTTTGCCTGCTTGGGGCTGATTCCTGAAATAACACTTCATTCTTGCTTCTTGCCTTTCCAATTTCCATTGTGTATTTTGTGTCTGATTTTGTACAATATTTCCTCAACAGCCACCAAGTTCCCAATATTTGCCACCGTACTCACCACGGGAATACTCTGTACTATATACACTGCACTGGTAAGCAAGTTGCAAGATGTTTTTCTTGCTGTAAGAATTTTTCTTTTCCATGTCGATACCGGACAAGACAAAACTCGCCAAAGGTCACAGATGTATTCAGAGATGCAGCAGTTTTCTGGCCTCTTTATTTTCTGTGGTTATAAAGCAGGAATGCCTTAGACATGTTCAAGAATTTTAAAAATGCTGACCGTAACCCTGCAGGAACTAAAATTATTCAGTTCAGTGATTGGTAGGAAATGTTCTGAATGATTTTCTGTGGAAAATTCACAGGAGTTGGGAACTTCAAACCCAGTCCCCGAATTGGCCATGGGCAGGATTTGAATCCAGGTCTTAGAAGTTGAGGGTGAGGAGAAAAAATTCTTTGCCTGCCTGCCTCCCACAGATGGGAATTTGGAATCTTAAGGGCCTTGTTCAGAACGGCGCCCCCTAACAGCCAAAAAGCTGAATGCCTTTGTACCATTTCCTGTTACGTGTAGGTGAATTCCTGGCATGCAAATTAAACACACTATAAAAAGGTCTGACTCTTTGACAGCTGGAGCCAACTGTCAGTTTCCCTCACTCAAACTCTCGCGGCCTGGTAAAACAGTGCTGTCTACACTTCATGCACAAACTCTATAGGCCTCTATCATGGGGCAGCCATCTTGCTTTTCTATCATTCAAGGCAGTGTAGCCAAACTGAGGCTGGAAGTAAAAACAGTCTGCTGCCTTTTGTCAACATGTGAGCTTATATTACTATTGCCAATGGGTCTGCAAGAAACAAGGCAAACATGGCAGCACCACGATAAAGGTCTATACCTTATTATGGAATTCTCCATGTATCAGACATTGATTGAATTTTACTGCCGTTTTCTTTTGGTTCCTGGGTGGTATTCAGGGTGGCATCAAAGCTGTCATCTGGACAGACGTCTTTCAGTTCATTGTTCTCTTTGGGTCCCTCCTTACTATCACCATCATGGGTGTCATTCAGGCCGGGGGAATGAAGTACGTCTGGACCTACAACAACGACAGGGGACATCTCAACTTCTTCAAGTGAGTGCCCTCTGTGACCCCTTGGGGTCACTGAACTTTTAAGAGAATGTTTAATGTGAAGTACCTGTTTGTTTCAGCAGTGTTATTGTGAAATGAGAATTTTTTTAAGCAACAACTGTAGCATGTCACCAGATTGTTTTGGTGCCTCTTCATCATTATATCAGTGGTCTTTGATCTTTCCTAGAGGCTTCCTTTTGTTTGTGAGATGTGGTTTAAGAAGTAAAATCTCTCCTGTGTTCGCATTTCATAAATTTGTCATGTGAGTGGTTGTAAGATGAGTTCTCGGGTTTTTTCTTTGCTGTTGTGGGTCATTGTTTATTGGAGTATAATTAATGCTTCTTGTGTCATTGTTCAATGCACAGAGATTTTCTTCAGCTGTCTTACTCTCTATTCAGTTGAATTGTTTTCTTGACATCCTATGAATTTTGCCCGTTTAAAGTTTTTCCCCCATTCACAATCAGTAGCCAAACACAACATACTCTACTCAGATTTCCACTTTTGCTTTTAGCTTTTCGCCGGACCCAACGGAGAGGCTGACCTTCTGGGGTTTAATCATCGGTGGCGTCTTCAATACCCTGCCTGTGTGGGCAGTCAGCCAGACATCCGTCCAGAGATTCCTGACAGCGAAGAACCTCAAAGAGGCCAAAAGGTGAATCAGTGTGTTGATTATGCAATCAACTTTATTGATACGAATGTGAGGTTTACACAGGATGTGTTCCAAGTGCTGTCTATTATAAGATTGTGTTATTGGCATATGTATTCATAGTAAAGCCTGATGCCCCGCATACCAAACATGAACAAATTTTCAGAGATATGTAATACGGAACTGCTGCAAACTGCATGCTGACTACAGCGACCTAACATACAAATCACAAAATATGGAGGGCCCGACGTTTCGATCCTAGCAGAATCTTTCTCAAAGGCAAAATGACATGAACAAATTTTAAAAGAAGGAGTGAGATTTAGATGTCCAATTTTTGGGTGATTTGACCAGTAATGACCACGGATTGATATGAAATGCTCTCTTGTTTTGTTCAGATCGGTATGGTTTGGTCTGCCCGGCACTGTATTTGTCCTGACCCTAGTCGGCCTCATCGGATTGGTCCTGTTTGCATACTACAACAGTAAGCTGTCTTTGGACTCCTTCACACTGTGCTTTGACTAATTAACAGCATTTTTCCACCCAACTATCTCTAACCCAGGATGCTGCAAAATGGCTTATTATGTTACTCTCAGGAAATCAGTAGACTTTTTTTGTGATAAACAGATCCTATTCATTAGTGCAAACTGTCACAAAGTGCAATGCAACCAATGCCTTCAGTGCACCCGTTTGCCCATGAAAAGGGTCGCTGGCACGCTTGAAATTCCGTACCACACACACAACTTCTCAGCTTGTGTTGAACACTTCAGGTCACATACCCGAGAAACCTTGGATGGAGATGCTCCCCTCAGTCTGAGTATAAAGAAATCTGATCTCCTTGGCATCTGTAAATAAAAAAAAAAGGGTTTTCCCCAGCCCACTCACCTTGAGGCTGCATGCTTACCATCGCAGATTTGGAAGAAAGGTGTTTTGAAACACCTGTGTCATGCCTGTGGAGTTTAGCTCGATGTGGCTCCAAGACATAAGCCTTAGCTACTTGTTCACAGAGCCAGTCGTAACTTTGATTTTACATTTTCAAATCCCTCAACCCAAAATTTCACAAATGCAGTCTTGCATTTAAAAGTCAGTCAGCGGACCACATTTTGAAGTGGTATTTGGCAGGGATAGGCCCAGATAATACAAAAAAAAGGCGAGAATCAAATTGCCCAAGAAAATACTGTTAATTGAGGACAGCTTTTCTGTTACTGAGCTAAGCAAACTTTGAACCATTACATCTCTGAAGCAAATAATCAAAGGGTAAATTGTGAAAGCAGGTGGGTAGTAACGATAAATGACATTTATTGATTGAATGGGTCTATTCATAATCATTCATCTCTGCCTCATGCCGTGGTTGAAACACAGCTGCACCTTACGTCAAGCATGCAAAAGTTTCACTTACGCTTAGGTGTCTGAAACATGCATCATGTTTTTAGGGCAGAACATTAATCATCCACTTAGGCAGTGGGCGGGGCTTACTGTATCTGTCCATTAAAGTACATCGCTGGCTCGTAAATTTGCTTGGTGTTGCTCATGTCTGCTGCATTCGGTCCACTCCTGAGACTTTTGCCCTGTTTGCTTTTTCTTCAGACCTTGAAACATCGCTGGTGCTCGCCAACTCCACTGCAACAAGTATGTATACAGAAGCATTCCAATTGACTTCAGTCACAATCATTCTCCATTGACCATGGGATGATTTGTAGCTGCTCTGTGCATGGATGGAGGGGGGTGTGGTGCTCAGTGCCTTTAGTTTTTCTAAACGTCCAGGTCTAAGGGTTCGAAGACCCTCTTAAAAAGCATAAACCATGCAGGGATCTTGTTTTGTGTATAGAGTTAAGGGCAGAACAAAGACATTACGTGGTTCCACCATCAGCGATAACTACATGTAGTAACCCCTCTGCCCTGCACGAACAAAAATATCCTGAAACCCACCCCCTCCCCTTGGCAATAAAGCCCTGGACCCATCCCTGTGCACTGAACCTGTCTTGAGAAAGACGTCTTACCAACTTATTTTCCAAACCACTCCAATCACAATGTGAATTCTATTCACCTTCCACTAGCATACCTTCCTTACCAGTGCAGTGCTACTGGTAGAAGGTGCTTTCCAGAAGTTAATTCGGCAGGCCTTGCCAAGAAATTCAGAGCATACCTCACATTTAATGAGTCAGCGTATTAATGCATGCACTGTATGATGCTTCTACACAGCGCCTGCGCACACCACACAATATAATGCTCGACTTTCCTGCATCCGTTTCACATGTCTGTTGTACGCATGTGTTTGACGACGACGGCATGGCATGTCTGATGGTTTTTCTCTAGCCAGCTCTGTCATTGCTGAGTTGTGCTCGGAGTTTCTCCAGCAGGCCCGGCAAGACCAGATATGGTTCAGCTTCACTTCAGTACCCTCTGTCGCCGTACAGAGTATTTGCCGGGAATCGGTGCCGGAGTCATACAAGAGTATGATCAAGTTTCCGAGCAAGAATGAGTGTAGATGTGTTGTTACATAGCAACAACATTCCCTTGATGGGAACTCATTGCATGCCCATAGGTTCATGTGGATTTGATGCAGGACATGATGAGCGTGTTTTACTCATTTCTATTTGAATGTGTGGTCTTCAGGCACGTGCTGGGTGCATGCACAAAGACAGGTCAGTAACTTTCCACCAAGCTCTCTATGCCAGTGAGGGTGTACTTCAACTCAGAATGCATAGAGTACCGAAGTGAATACGTCTCGGCACAAGTATGTGTGTAAAAGGCATTCAAGCGAGAGCCATGAGCTCACACTCGCACATACTCCATTCATTTGTATGGCACTTGCTGGTTCGAAATGATGTCACACTTTAGTACTCTATCGGGATGGGAAATATAATCCAGATCCAGTCTTGGGCCCAGACTGTTTCCTGGCTTCAAACGGTCCAGTATTGTTTGTTGAGAACTTTCTCAAAGCCTAAGAAACTCACAAATCTTTATCAGTGCGAGAAACATCCACATGTAACTCCTGGTCATTGTACAAAAGCTCCTGTTGTTGTTTGTTCATATTGTGAGTTATTTTCCCTTAGCTCCAGTGATGAAAAATGATGGACCCCAGCCTCATTACACACCAAACTATCAAAGCTCAGATCAGGTAAATACCAAATGAAAGTGTTAAAGTCCAAATAGACATAGTCAGTGATTTAATATACATGTTTACGTGTTTGTAAAATAAGCAAGTACACGTATAACAAAGATGGTACATCTTAGCTCAGATATAATGAAATCGACCACAGTGCTAAGCGTCAGTGTGCAATTGAATATAGCATTTAATTCATTCAATTTCAAATGCCCTTCATTTATGTAAAAGTATCAGTCAAACTTGCTTTTCTGGAAAAACATTTATTTTGGCTGTGTTCGCATAAATGCAGTGCTCCACTTTGTCACAACAAAACTAGCTTGATTGTGATGGTAGGCTTTATTGCCATGTGCCCAGGGGCCAGTTTCACAGAGCTGCTTGAGTACAAAATTTGCTTAATCACGAAAAACCTTGCTTAATAAACAAAGGTTACCAGCTCAAACTCTATGTGATTGTCATGCTAACCAAAAGACACGTAAATACCATTCCAAAACATACATAACAAAGTTTTGGCTGGTAACCTGATTTGTCAAGCAAGGGTTTTTCACTTCTAAACAAATTTTCACTTTAACAGCACTATGAGATTGGCCCAGCTGCCAAAACAACTGGCCTGTGTACTGATGACTGCATAGTTTGCATGTGCGTTCTTCCATGGGAACCAGGTGGAGGGAAGACAGAAGCTGGCCTATAAAAGCATTCATGTGAAAAAAGGAAAAGTACAATGTCATTATCATCAGTACATGGGACTGTTTCACATGTAAGATTACAACAGCAGAGATGTTGAACGCAGAATTCTCAAGGTATGACTGAGTCTGCAGTCATGCTTGGCGATCTACAGTCAGACCACAACACAGATTAGCTCATAGCCATCTGGGCAAAATTAATGCAGTTGGACAGTTAGGTTGTCAGTGTTCCTTTGAGAGGTGTCTGTTCTTTTCTTCTTGCAGATTTTGGTGTATTTTGTAAGCCTGGAGTTTGGCAATATACCTGGTATTCAGGGGCTGTTTGTAGCTTGCTTGTTTGCTGGGACTCTCAGGTGAGCTAGCAGAAATATAGCCGATATGTAATCAGGATTTGATGATGCTTATGGACATGTCATTCAGCCGTCTATCACATGTCTATCATTGTAATGATCTGGATTGGTTACAATTCAAAGTCTTAACCACTTCCTGCCGGGGACTCTGGAATTGGAGACGTATGGTTTATATGCGTGGCCGGGGTTTCTGAACTCGGACAAAGGAAACAGGGCCCTGTAACAAAAGACCGTACTCCAAACAAAAGACCAGGCTGCTGGGCATTACCAACATTTTTCACTCTCAAAAGTGGTGATAATCCAGCCTTGTTTTGAAACCGTATACCAGGGTTTGGGGCATTGAGAGCGAGTGGATTACCACCGGGGACAAAAGCACTCCACCACCGCAGTGATGAGCCACACAGCACCGCTGCACGCTAATCTGGCCCCTATTAAAAAGAGGTCAGCAGTGCACTGAGCCAACACCGCACAATCTGGGCTCTGTTTACAAGGCTGCAGGCCTGGCTGAAATACTCGGGCATCAATGAAGGTCACCTGTCAACTTAGAGTAGTGCCTAAAGATTACTTGGTGCGGCTATAAACGACCGTTAAATGAAATGATGAATTTTTGAAGGATTTTGAAAATGGAAAAATGATAGTCATGCCAGCCAACATCATCAACATTGAAAAATGCCCCGGCATGAAGTGGTTAATTTTAATGCAACTTGGTCCTTCAATAAAATTTTTATCCTGTTATTTTCTCTCAGTGTCCTCTACGTTGAGACAGAAGTAATGTATTTGAAGTTTAAAGCGCACTTCCTTGCAAGAGGGGCATCAGAAACTCATAGTTTTGTTGTTGTCTTGCTTCGTTAACCCCTTGACATTGGGACTTTTTTCTGAAAGCCGACTCTGAGAATTCCATCCTGGCTTGACCACGAAGGCAACCTGCCAAACCGCAAATTCTCGGTTTGTGGCCCTTCGTGCTCTGCACGCTTTGAATTACACTGTGAAAAGGCTCATTGTTCGGTGGCATGCGGCTCTACTCGTGCTTCCGCATTCCCGTTGCCTCTTTTCAAAGTAGGGACTATTGTGAAGCTGGTGATTATTGTGCAAAATCGGCCTTTTCATTTCTTGGCAACACACAAAGGCCAATCACCATATATACAAGAGCCAGGGTGTGCCTTCTTTCATCGTGTTCGCTCGAGCGTGGACCGGAAATAATGGCTGAAAAGCAGGCTGAGGGATCTCAATTTTTACAGCGGCTCTTACCGCTTCCCGGTGAGAAGGGTTTAAATAGCTCTGGTTTGCACTCTGTGCGTCGTTTTAGCGGGTATAAAATCTCTGATGAAGAGGCATTTTGTTGTTTGATGCAATGGTGTTACTTTAAAACCAGAGGATAAAAAACAGCGCTCTTTGAGTTGTAAGAGCTTGGATTTGCAATAGAAAATGGAAATTTGTAATGAGCAAATTGTTGGTTTTCGTTCAGCACTGTGTCGTCAGGACTGAATGCTTTAGCCGCCGTGACCTTAATGGACGTTGTGCGGCCATGGAGAGGTCCTCCCAAGCAACGCGCGGACTCAGACGCCAGCCAAGAGGGCTCCACCAACACTGCCAACAGCGCCACCACTTCAGCGTCAACACCCCTGACCTCCGTGGCCGTGAATCAGGCCCAGGACCGGTGGGACACGATCATCTCAAAGATACTCAGTAAGTCAAATTGGCTGTCTGGCCGGATTTTGCAGACCTGCAAAGTGCAGAAATTTGTTAAGTGCAGAAAATGTGAACTTAGCAGAAGCTGGTTACCCCCAAAAAACCTCATATAATGTGTACTGTTTCCGACTGGCTCCCATGTGACTTTGCTTTGTAGATAAATGTGCTTAGTAACCACTTAAAGCAGCTGTGTGGAATTTGGCCAATAGAAACTGCCGACTGGTACTTTAACAGATTGTGATGTTATCCTCACACCTAGCTGTTGCTGTCATTTTTTTTTTGATGTGTGGTGGAATTTAACCATGACAGAAACTGCATTTCTTGTGTGTGCCTGTTATCATGGCTGTAGTATTATGATTTTAAAAGAAACATTAAAGCTTTTTCACCAACAGTTTATAAATGATACTTGAGACTTATTCCAAATTCAGGAAGGACAATAATTTTTCATCTCTGATGCATTTAGGTTGTTTTCGTCTCTTCAGTAACGATAATTGATCTTTTACATTCAGTGGGTCGTTGAGGTCTGGTGAAAGTAGAAAATCTAACAGTCAATTTCATCTTAACGTTTTAACGCATTTTTTTGAGAGTTAAAGATCTTCACTTTTTATGCATAATATGCCTATTGTTGTAGGGCTGTTTGTGAAAAAATTCATTTTCTCAAACAAGTGTTTCTCCAGGCTGACAGTTTTGCAACCTGATTTATGTAAATGTGGTTCCTGAAATTTCAGTTTTACCTTTTGTCGGCTTTCTTCACGTGGAAAACTCTTAAGACCATTATGCTTTTGCTTACAGCTGCTGTGTTCGGCGTCATAAGTATTGGCTTAGCTTTCCTGGCTTCTAAGCTAGGCTCTCTGGTCAAGACGGCTAACACTGTGGTAGGTGGTGTGGGTGGACCACTGCTTGGTGTGTTTTCATTGGGCATGCTCTACAGACGAGCCAACACTGGGTGAGCAGGAGTTGATTATTACCTTTCAGAAACACCTCATCGGACGACCCACCGCTGTCAATAAACAAGGTTTCTTAAGCAAAATGCCACCTTTGAAGCATGCTGGTAATACAGTAAAATTGGCACATGAATTACATAACAGCTTCAGCATATTATATGGACTCATTAGCACAAAAGAAGAAAAAAAGGAAATTTGGTCAAGCTGGCTGAAGGATGTATTGATGATGTCCATGACTCGAATCCCAGAGGATACCATACCTTTTTATTTCCGGTATGTTTCCCGTGAGAAAAGATAACTTTTGAAAGGTTATGTAATTTACTGGCACCGGTACTAGCCAAATAAATGGCCTTGAATTTTGTTTTATTCAAGAAAAAAACTGCTCACTTCTCATGTTTCTTGATTAAACCTCATTTATTAGCATGGCGCCCATATGACATTGTGTGATAATATATTACCAGCATGCTGTGAACATGACATTTTGCTTGAAAAGCTGCATTTGTTAGTGGGTAGTAGGATTTGGAGTCAAAAGCGCTGTTTAAGTTTTAGTCTCTGACTCGTCCCAAGGCAAGATTGTCTGTTTGATCCATGAGTAGCAATCTACAACACAACCAGTAGGGGACCAGTCTGCCCCTGTTGGTACGGGCCATGCACGTGTGTCATTTCTTATTCAGACCTCCATGACAGACTTCCTCAAAAAAATGCCATCTTTGTTCCACCTCATTCTAGGAGGAGCAGTCGGTGCTCCTGTTGGTTTTGAAGCTGGACTGGATTAGACCAACTTTTGTGGTCGCAAAGCCTTGGCAAACGTTCCCATATGGAAACAATAGCTGGGTCCAGTTTCCTGGAACTGCACAGCCAAGGATACCACTTCACAAATGTATGTGAAAAATCAGCTGGGAACCAGTCACAGCATACATGCAGTGCCTGGTATTTAGGCTGGTGACCAACTTTTGGTTAGCAGCATTTTTTTACCACTCAACACATTCCCCCTTGACGCAAGGGAAGGCCAGGACTGCATATGAGGCCCTGTGGACTGCCTAAGAGGGCCTAGGAACGACCTACTGGGGGTTCTAAATCTCTGTTTCATCTTCGCCTCCAGCTCCTCCTAATTCTTCCCCAACGTTGAACTTTAGCTCAGCAAAGATGGAAGAATTTTAATGAAGTTTCATTATCACAGGCTCACAAGCATTTTCACTGTCAACGACCAAGCCTGCAACGAATCTGAGGCAAAAATAAAGCTGTGATTTAGAAAAGCCCCCATAAAAACAAACAGTATATGCGTACACCAATGTTAAATCATGTTTTCTGGTGAATTTTCCACAGCGGGGCTCTGATAGGAATCCTTGTAGGTTTCTATCTGGCCCTCTGGATGACAATAGGGGCAGCAACGCACCAAGATGAAAACGGCAACATCAAAGAAGATGCCTTTGCATTGTACAGGGTAAGTCAAGTTGTGTAAAGGCCTCTTCACACGAGCGCTGAAAACGCACGTCTGGGCCAATCGGCACCACGGCGTCTGTGTCTTGCTATGTGTGAGATTTCTTCGCCGACTTTCACACGGTGCAATGTTTATCGCGTAGCTGACGTTCCTTGTTCCGCCACGATTTGCAACTTCTACTGACATGTCTGAGCAAAGCAGTGATGGAAATAGCTGGATTCGCATCGCGAAATTCGATACATTTTGTGCAAAAAGCGAGACAAACATGAAATTTCCATTCATAATTTTTGCGAATTGAAATTTCTTTTAAAATCATGCATGCGGCCACGGCGAGCTCGCGGCACGGATCGGAAACCAGTGCCGGCCCATACTATACTGTAGTGGCTTCACAGCAAAAACGAAGTGTTTGACAAAACAAACTCACCCCCAGTTTCTTGCCCAAGTTTCGCGCAGCTCTAGGCCCATGGATCGTGGGGAAATGAGGTTGTTGCAATTTGGTAGGATTATATAGCACGTGTAGTTCGGTAGAGTACGGTACGAGGACACACATGGACATTCAATAGTGGTGCCATGAACTACACGTTGGAACATACACCCCAATTGCGATACCAGCTTCGCACGTGTAAGCACAAGTAAGCACGTGTTAACTTCTGTCATTTTGTTTTTCACAGTATTTTGCCAAAATACCGTGAAAAAAAAAACAGAAAAAAGAAGATTTCCTGGACTTTTGAGGAAACAGTGGACGTCATTAGGATGATGGCTAGGGCCGATATCTAGATGAAAATTGAGGGAGCCCTGCAAAGCCACAAGGTGTATCAACTCACAGGACCCTCGCGACGATCGCACTCTGCATTCACATGTCCGATCACGGTGATCATAACACAGATTTTGCATCAATGTGAAGTTTTTTAGGAGGTCTCGATCGCTGCGACGATCGCTCAGGACCTGTGTTATAATCGTGCGATTTCGTGATTGAGATAGACTTTCACACGACATGATATCTCTGCGATTGTAACGTCGATGTGATTTCATCACACAGGACCTCTGTTATCGGCGCTCGTGGAATAGGCCTTAAAACAAATGCAGAAACTAAGTCTGTTGCTAAACCATCAAATGGTGAAAAGCAATTGTGTGAAAACCGGGGACAGTTTCATGGTGCCGATTATTGCCAAGGAGAGGCATGTGCTAACTGTAGCAGAAAATTGAAGTACACACCGTGGCCAGGAATTGGTAACAATTAGAAGCAAGTTCAGACTTCTGCTAAGGCATCAGGAATGTGGCAAAGCAGGCAGGACTCATGCTCAGTGGGTCAGGGGTTCAAATCCACCCACTGGCCATACATTGTGGCCTTGGGCGAGCCACTTTACCCCTACTTGCTGCCCTCTACCCAGGAGTATGAAGGATACCAGGGATCAACCGGCAATGGACATGCCATCCCATCCTGGGCTAGAACCAATCTCAGTTGTTGCATACCAAGGAAACCTGAGATAAGCACAGGCCTAATGAGTTACAATGATTCAGGACAGACTTGGGTGCTTGCCACACCATTCAAGTATGTGCTGCTTATTGTGTCCATGAAATGAATGGAGCATTCCATTAGCATTATATACCGCTTTACCAGCCTGAATCCCCATTTCTTCTAAGTATGAGAATCCTGTCGTGCCTTGTAGGTCTCTTTCATGTGGTACAGTATGTTCACCAGTATGGCTACCTTTCTAGTGGGAGTTATAGTCAGCGAGATCATACGATGCTGCATTCCAGATGAGAGATACAAGCGAGTGGACCCACTTCTGCTGGCAACATTTCTGAGGTAAACATGGAGGGGCTGGCTACAAAGAAAGATTGTACGAAGAGAGGTCATGGCTTAACCCTAACTGTCCTCAGTCCTCCAACAGGTGAAGGACTGAGGACTGTTAGGGTTAATGTACTCTGATTGCATGCACACTTGCCCTGGCGTGGGACCAATGCTGAAACTGTCACTGATGCTTTGTGGCCTCCTAACAGGTGTAATGAAGGAAGGATGGAGAAATTGAATTACCTGTGGATGTGGATGGGGGGACCCATGTTTTTTGGTAGGAATACACCTGTTGTGTTTCCCTGCATTTTTGCTTGTTGTCAACAGGGGATTTGGATAGCTTTGAAGACAGAAATTATCGCTTCAAAGCATGCTGTGCTTATGTGTTCATGATTACCTTAATTTGGGGCTGTTTTGCCCTGTTTTAAATATGACTGACCCCCCTCGTAAACGTTTGATCTCCCACGTCTTACAATTATGATTTGACTTACAATGGACCTGTGATACACCTTGATCACAGATACGTAGCTTTGGAATGGAGTTTCTTTGTCATATTGGCTTCAATTGATTAATCTTTTCTCTGTTTCTTGTCCTGGGACTACAGACCGAAAGGTTGGCATAAGTCCTTCCCGGGCACGGATTCGCACAACCCAGACATGCGGATTGGAGATCCGGTGTTCCAAAGTTTACTGGCCTCAGGCAACCAGAGCGTGGACCAGGAGAATGAGTCGCTGCTGGGTGATCTGGAAGGAAATGACATCCATGAATTAGGGTCAGTTATAAACGAGGTCACAGACATGAGAAGCGCGCAGTATTAAGCCAACTTACAGCACTAGGGTCTGAGTCCCTGACTTGGATCTGGTTTGGATGATGTTTGGTAAAGCTGTGATTATCGATGAGTCAGTTCCAAGGAATGAGAACCAAGGAAGTCCTGTGTGTTCAGTCTAAATTTATGTGAATAGAGTAAACTACTCTTGTTATTTAAACTGTAAAAAACAATTCGGATTTGGAAGGTGTACAGTTAACAGTTTTATCACACTACCTGAATTTTTTTTTTTTACCAAAACGATTGTTTTAATTAGTGGGCATTATTTTTGTTTTTTATGATATTAGTTTCTTATTCAACAGCTGTTGCAGTCACATGAACTTTCTTTATTTGGCTGATTTGTATGGTCTGTCCTTTCTTATTTCCTGGATCTTGGAGTGATGATTGTTTGGAAGCATCTTGAAACCAAAACCTTTCGTGTCCCTTCAGATAAGCACATTCCTTTTGGACTTAATTTTCCCATGTAAAAAAAAAATCGCTGGAGAATGGTGGAGATTTCCAGCAACTCCAGATAAGATGGGGGGCAGGGTTTCTCGTCTGAATTTGTCCATTGTAGTGAGGTTTGGCATTATACTGTAATAGGGATCAAACAATGAACTAATGCCTCCATAGTTGTGCTACTGAAGTCCTGTCATATGACATCACCGTACGAAAGTGTGACCATAAGTGAACTTGGAACAAACGATTGGCCATTTCAGGAACCAGAGGTCCATATTTTCAGACATCACATCTTGTGATGAGCTAAACATTAGCCCTTTAATATTAACCCCCGAAATGAAAGTTACTGACACGTAACTTTGAGCTTTTACTCTGAAATTTAAAGTTTGTAGTGCAAACGCACAGCGTCTGTATACGATTCAGGTGAAAAACGTGTGTGTTAGGCGTCTCTCGTAGCAACCATAACTGAAAGTCACAATGTACATACTATGTTGTAACTACATTTTGCCTCAGTAGCAGTTCCAGGGAGACACCTTTTTTAGGGAAATATCTTGTCGCTTTTGCCCACCTTTTGCTTTTGTTCTCAACTGGTTATTGAATAGCTTCCAAGGCAGAAAATATCACTAAGATGTCCCCACTTATATTTTCGGTTTCACCTTCATTTTGGGTATTTGTAAATGACGGCTCGGCCTCTGAGTCATGTGGTATGATAAAAAAAACACACACTCTACCTCTATTCTGTTGTAATAACCAAGTTCACAGATGATATTCGCGGTAAATAAAAAAATTGATGGGCAGAAGAGAAAATGGAGTTTTGCTCCTCAGAGTACAGTCAAGCCATAGTTTTTCATGTAAAAGAGCAAAGAAATGTTTCATTGGCGCTTGTAGTTTTACACCCGTTGGTGGTTGAAATAACAGTCCCTTCTCAGCCCAGAGGCAATAGAAAAGAAGAGCTTAAGTGTTCCCATTTTACGTCTTCGTTAATATAAATACCAGTAATATTGATGAGGGAAGGAGGTTGCCCATGTACTAACACATCTTAAATGTGCACTTAATAGGCCTATGAACTAATAAAAACCAACACTTAGAGACAGAAGTGGACTAGCAATCGTTAATGCGTCTGTATGCCTCTCCAGCATGCCTTGATACAGCATGGTCACTTTTATTTGTCTTTACAGACGCGACCAAGATAAACCGTCATCTTAAGCAGTGGTAAGAATTCATTTATAGTATTCCATATCACCTTTATCTGCCTGCGCAACGAGTGCGACATTTCTGAATCATTCTCCCTTTCAAACCACTGTTGGCTACATCCGATCCAGTTTGGGATTCTGGTGTTAAAGTAACATCACTTGCTGGCCAAATTCATCCTTTTCATCTCGAAACCAATGGAAGACGAAGTTTTAAAGGGTCATTGAACTTTGGAGTTGTGGATTACTTTCGACAGTTGCAGATCGTGCACAGACCGTCCCGAACATTTTCTATTCAACGGTCAGCGTATTTCACTTTGCGGCATTTGAGATGGTTTTCTGACGAGGGAAACTAATTTGGTACCTGTCGACTGCATATCCGAGAAAACCAAAACTTTCCCTTTTCCTGTTTCTCTTCAAAGGTCAGAAATTCTGCGGGGAAAATGTTCAATGATGGAGCAATCTCAAGAGTGACTCTTCTGGCTGTTGTATAGTGATGTGACACTCAAATTGGTGCGACAAATTTTCTTGAAGCTCGGTTACTCCAGACTGTATTCTCATTTCCTCAAGTAATCCAGAACTGTTGATGATCCAGAACTGTCTTATAGGTAGCCACATACAGAAACAGTCCTTGTCAAAGTGAATTGCTTTTGGAACAGCTATGTGGTTTTTTAATTCCTACCCTATGTACGGAACAGCCATGCTGTATCATCAGACGTTTTCATCCACAATCAAATCATGTGATTTTAATTCAGATGTCTAGCGATACTATTGCTTGTCAAGTGTTACCAGCATATCAAGTGAGTGCTAAACTCGCCAATTCAGTCATTCAGTTGTTGGTCATTTTTGCGCGAAGTCCAAATGCTCTTTACGCATGACAGTTATTGACCTCATCGGTCAGTTTCGTCCGCAAACGGAGCGTGGTGACGCCATGTTGTCGGCATGTACAGTATACATGTAGTTCAATCCCTGCGCTCTTGGGGAGTATGAGTTGACTTCAGTTGAGCGTAGGCCTGCACTTGCCCTTGGCCCAATTTCACAGCGCTGCTAAGCACACGATTTTACGCTGACAGAGGCTCCGTGTATTTCATGGAGACCGTGAGCGGTAAGCGCAGCGAAAGGCACACTTAGGCTTAACTTGGAGAAAAATTTTGCTTAATGCAGTGACATAACCGCAAGCACTGTGGTGTTAAAATCAACACTTTTTGGTGTTATCAGATGACCACACCATAGGGTATTGCTTTAACACCGCTAGAGTTACTTTGCACACCTATAAGTGTTAACAGTGCACTGGAGGGTGTTAAAAGTAACACCAAATAACACCAAAATTTTAACACCAGTGAAAAGTGTTGATGTAGTCCTCTGATAACTCCAGGGGTGTTTAATTTAACACCCTGGTTTTTGCAGTGAAAAAAAATGGAAATCTCTGTGCGCGCAACCGCGCCAACATTGCCACGAAATAACGCTTAAAGCTACATTTTCTGTCATACCGGTAGTAAGCACGACTTCTCTACTGTTAAGCAGCGCCATGAAATTGGGCCCTAGGCCATCTATAGCTGATTAACCGTGCCAAACCGATGCTGTCTACGTACGTTATACCTATTTCCTCTTGTCTGTAATTGGGTCATGTTTCAGTTTGCTCCAATCGGGACCGCCTTGAGAAGCACCCTGGCACAAGAATTCACAGGTTTAATCCAAACGAGAATCGCTTATTTCCTTTGTCGTCGTTCACACTGTTACTTGTGACCATAGTCTTGCGACGGTCTCGAGTGCAACACTGTTTATGTTTATCGTTTTCAACGGGTTTTGCAGCCCCTTTACCCTTGACATGTTCTTAATCGCTCTTGCGTTGTTCAAATTCGACCATGCTTTGCCTCACATTGCAATGAGCACCGGATGGGGGGGTGACCTCCATCCCCTGTTGATTGGCGTCTGATACGTGATGACTTTATAACTCGACCATTTAAATTATTTAACATAAAAAGGTAAATTCATGAATCATGTCCCCATTATGAGCACCATAGTATTAAGGTTGTGGCTTGCCAGTATTGAAGTTTTAGTAGTATTTATTTTCCAACGTGCACTACGGTAATTTACCTCTCAACCAATAGTAAGCTTTATAACACCTCACCCGCTGATTCTGTATCTTGATTGGCCGAAAGTGTCCATGTGACGCTTGCTAATTTTACTATTTTTAAACCACCGCTTCAAAAAGACTATACCATGCAGCTTCATTCTGAAAAAGAACTATACCCGTAGCAACGAAAGCATAGGCGTGTATTTCGGCTCAAAGCAAACAACATTGGTTAATGAATGTATTCAAACGTTGCTGTTCCGTTTGGAATTCTTGGATTAAATTTGATGAATGTAAATTCCAGTTTGGTGTTTCATTATTGATTTTTAGCTTAACTTTTGCAGGATCTGTGGGGAGGTGTTATAAAACAAACATTGACTGCTTTATCTCGCGGTACTGTAAAACTAGCCTCCCGAGGTGATCCATGGAGCATTCTATTTTCCTTAGGCAAAGCCGAGGGAAAATATAATGCTCTATGGATCACCTTGTTAGTTGGATCACCTCGGGAGGCTAGTTTTACTATACCACTCGAACCAGTCAATATTTGTATATTATTTGTCAAGCCCGCAGTCACCGCCCACAAATGACCGTCGCCGTTGGTATTAACCATACACAGGGGTGTGAGAGGTCAGCTTTTTAGCTGATGTTAGTTGTTTTTTTTTTTGTTTTGTTTTTTTGAGAGGTTGACCCTGGATTTGGTTTTTTTTTTAATATATATACCTAGTCTATACAAGAGTATTGGAACTTTTAACATTTCAGTTTTTTGCTAGCTGTTTTCAGCTTTGAGGTTAACTGGTCGCTCACACCCCTGCATGCAAGAACATCCTATTCCCAATACAATGTACATTGATCGATTGTAAAAAGAGTGCTGAATCTGTCGAAGCGTGTTTCCACGTGCATGTACATTGTCCGTGTGCTTTGGAGAAAAAAAAAATCAGGAGAGAAAGCAAACGAAATTAATACGCGTAAGGTGTGTTTAGCTTGATCAACGAATTATAAGCAGGGAGTACCTTACATAACTGCGTTCAGTTATTGCGCCTCTGGCTACAATGGTCTTAATACTAGTAGAAAGATAAATCAAATTTGAATGGGGAAATTTGAATGGGGGAGGGGTGCTGATACCTTATGACACTAGAGGGAGATGATCATGATACAGATGTACGAGGGCGAGTCAAAATTAATGCAGTTTGTTTGATTGCACAAAAAAACAAGGCACACGACCAAACAACCGTCGCATCCTCCAAAGTTGGCGCCCTCAGACTTCCATCTTTGGTCCAATGAAAGAGGTACTGAGGGGCAATCCGTATGATGGTGATGAATTGAAAACGGCTGCAAGGAACTTGCTACATCAACAGCCATCAGAGTTTTACGAAGCTGGGATTCATGCCCTCATCCTAGGGGGAACACTACCCTTGAACGATGTGGTGACTATGTTGGGAAGTATTGTGAACCTGTAATGTATAGCTATATTTTGAAGCATGATTATGTTCGATTGCATTCCTTGTGTAGGCCTAATCAAAAATCGCATTACTTTTTTGACTCGCTCTCTCGTACATCTGTAGTACATAGCGTGGCCACGAAAACTTCGAACGGAAGCAAATACAGTCACTGCTAAAGTAGTACATACACTTGAAACGTACGGAAATTAAAGGGTCAGGCATGGTACGCACTATGAACATCTAAAAAAAGACGTCAGGTGCAGCATCAGTGGATGATCATTGTTAATGTACTGTGTATATTATGTTAAATGTTCGTAGTGGCGGTCACTATCCTATGCTTGAATAATTTGTTGACATTTGTTGACTCCAAATAGCATGACCCGTACAATAAAACAGAAACATAAATTATAAAGGCTCGAGTAAGGTACTGTCAGTGTTCTGATTAATTAACAGCAGACATGAAACGTCAGGAAATAAGACCTAGGCTGGGTACTATCGCTACGTAATAGGTACGTAGAAACAGAACGTAAAATTATAAAGGTTCACAGGGCTCCGCGAGTATTTTGATTTAATGAGACATATACCTAAAAAGGCCTTCGGGTACTGGATCTCTCACGCAATGAGAACAAAAGACAAGAAACAAACAAGGTTCAACCAATACCGGGAATACCAGTTACGACGAGAATGTACATTGCTTCCACGGAACCCACTAATTCCACTAAAAGGATATGCGCCCGCATCTTTATCATGGTCGATTTTATTACTAAAACGAATTCAACTGTTGGAAACTGTTTAATATAGAGTAGATTGACCCGGTACCCGCGAGTATTTAGCAACAACGTTCTGACCCACGTTGTGGTCCTAGGCACTAGACCTTGCTCATTTTAAAAATTTATGATAATTTACGATAGATGTGATGTTACTGATAACCAGTCATTCATCTTGTTTATTTCAAATTCAATCATTGGATGTAAAGAAATAGAATTTTAACGATGGTATTGAAAAGAGTTTGTGTTTACTTTTTTGATATGAAAATAGTTGACAAACTGCTTTGAAAAATTTCTACATGAATGTGAGTTGTGTTCCACTCGTGCACAGCTAGAATCCTCATTGCAGTGTTTGTTCATGGCTGACGCGAGCAGTCAACAAGCTGAACAATAACAGTGAAGCAGTAGTCGGTCGTGGTGGGCGGTATCCTTGGTGGAGAATGACAAGCAAAGCTTTTCCTTTGCTGAGACGTGAAAAACCGTCTTATGTCCCGTTGTAGCCCACCGTGCATGCATGTACATATTTGTGGATATTCGATTCAAATGTTACAGGGCCCAAGCTAGTTGAGTATCTTCCAAAGGGGTTTAAATCTGCAGAAAAAAGAACACATAACGACTGGACGGAATTCGTTTGGAATAGTCTCTGAAGGTTTAAAACACCGGCCCCGAAGGACACATAAGATCATGGAATTGTGTAAAGTTAATATGCTGAAACATTAAAAGACTTTAGGTCAGTCTGTGAAATGAGATTGTTAAGCTATACTCGTTTTTCAGGTGGAGTTTTGTTTTGATATCCACGGTTAAAATATACTTTAGCCACCCCTATTGATGATTTACATCTATATTTACATTCAATATTTTAAAGGTTATTACTATGTATAAGAAAGAGAAGCAACTACGACGGGTCTTTTTCTAAATATATATAGATATTAATTGAATTGCCGAGAAGTAACGCCAAAAATTATATTTAATATACTTTGCTTTTAATTTGATTGTGTACTACAATGAATGGCGGCATTGTAATAAATGTTTCCGACTTGATGGATGGAAAGCCGTAGAATTTTCTGTAACTTTCTTATTAGTCGCTCAGTCTCAAAAGCCATAAGTAAGCCACTTACATGGACGGTATCCTTGCGTTGTTGCGGGCTGAAGGACGATGTAAGTACGATTATAATTTTAACCAATGCACATGACTTCTTGGTCACAGTGTGGAATGAAGACGACGAAAAACTATGCGAATACTGTCGCGAAAACACCAAAAGGTGAGCGTTGGGATCTTCAACAGTAGTTGCCGAATCAGAAACGCAAATTTCTGCAAAGGACTGGGTGTGTGGGGGGCATGGAGTCAGTCCAAAGACGTGCTGGGCCATGGAAATTTGAGGGGGGGGACTGGCGCACATCATACGACAGATGGGGCGCCGTTGATGATATAAATGTACACTTTTGATATGTACACTTGCGTCGTATTTATAGCTTTTTGTGTTTTCCTCCCTTGTTTTGGTACTATTGAATACATATACATACAAAACTACCCTCAAAATCCGCAACATTTCTTTTCTCATCACGAAAAAGTGGGTGATGATTCAATTGTATATCCCCAGTCACTCGGTCAAAAAGAGGTGGGGGATTTGTACACCTCCCCCATCCCTCTGCGGTCGTGTACCAAATGGCAATATGATATAATGACTGCACCCTTTTGAGAGCATGGATCGAACTATTAGTCCAGTTTTTCGTCTCTTGATACTCTTTGCTCTCGAAATTAGATATCATCAGAATCAGCTGTGGGAACCGCGTTTGTTAACTCGTGAAATACGCAAACAGCGAGCGCAAAATTTAATTCCACGTTTTTCTTTCTCGTAACATGAAGCCAGGCCAATTCAGGCAACGGTAGCCGGCCATTAGCTGAACTCTTCACATCAACACATTTGATCAAACTCCAACTGATAAAAGTATGTGTTCAGGCCTTTCAAAATCATTTATCAAGCCTGATGACAATGGGAGTTACCAATTCTCAGGGTTGAAGTTCAAAACTACAGTAAAAGGGATCATTAGATAGCAGCACCGTATAGGGGCAGGGTCTGGTTAATCGAGGCCAGTAGTAGTAGATAAAGTAGATTTGATTACCTGGCTTGGCTCATCGTTGGGGGGGGTGAATGACAATCTAAGATTATGAATGATGACTGTCATTTGAACGTCGACGCAATGGCAGAAAGGTTTGGTCAAGTTGAGTCGGAGAAGCAACCCACCGCGAACAACGACAGGCCCAAAGTCACCTGTCTAGATACGCTGATGGAAACGCTGGTACACTGCGAGTTGCCACGTCGTATCAGCGGGGAATCCAACCAATCTGCGAGCAACAAGTTCGTGGTGAACTGCACGGGAACGGTGGCGAATTCGAAGCGACGCTGCGTCGTGTGTAAGGGGCTAGCAACGGGTTATCATTACGGTGTGGCATCGTGTGAAGCCTGTAAGGCGTTTTTCAAAAGATCAGTCCAAAGTAGGTATTAAGCAAGTCACACTTTACATTTTATTTGCTGCTACAAATCTGTTGATTTTATAAACATAATGTGAAGCCCTTCCAGGAAACGTATTACGCTTATTTTCAGTCGGAAAACAGGCAAAAATTGTTTATATTTCGGTATCAAAAATGTTCTTTTATTTTGTTGTTCGTTGTTATGCTGTTAGTATGCCAGGTACCAAAGTTTTCTCAAGTATATTTCCCAGATGAGCGAATTTCACGCATGACAAATTGTTCAGAAATCCCAATGGAGTAGCGTTTTCCATAGGTTACATCACAACAAAAGTGCCCTCAATAATTTCCAATGTTTTAAAATGGGTATACTAATCCAAAAAAGTACATAAAAAAGGAATAGCATACATAAAATGGGACAAAGCGATTTATTTTACTGTATCTCTTCGCTGTGTGAAAACCATTAGAAATTCCTATGTGTACTGGAGGGAGTGGAAAGCGGCAAGATAAACACGTGTTTACGTCAAATACGCCCCTTCCAGTGATCATGTTAACAAAAAACCTGTATGCTTGCCAAAATGTCTGAAGCAAGATATGAGACAGAGAGAACCCCCCCACTTTGTGTGGGTCATTGTCTCACTGGAATAGTCTAGAGTGGGTATAGCGATTGGACGCGTTGGGGGGGGTACCCCTCGGTCTCATTTCTTGCTGGATATAAAAATGTAGAGAAGCTTACCTACTTGTGCTTGGAGAAGCGACAGTGTGAGGTTTCCCATGGCAACAGGCGAACTTGCCAGGCCTGCAGATACACGAAATGCATCAAAGCGGGCATGCTGGTGGATGGTAAGCATTCACATACAAATTTTAAAGAAAATGATGGATTCTCTAAGGTCCGCCATCTTTTGTGTCAGATCGTGTTGGAATCGAGTTGTACCAAAGAAAAATGGAAAAATATGAACGTGAATTTTCAAAGCTTTTATTGCATTTCATGAACGCTTCAAGTGGCAAAGGCTGCGCTGTTTTTCCTTCAGCGGAGATCAGCGATGAAGTCCTAAACGACAATGCTCGTTTCAGGCAAAAGCCCCATATCCAAGATGGCGGATCAGAGCGATTCCGTAGAACAGTAATTCCTGCAGCCGTTAACTTATTTATTAGTAAGCAGATCTTTGCTCTGCAACATTTTGAGAACAACACTGTCCTGCCACGTGTGTACATTGTTGCGTTATCTCTTAACATCATGCTACAACTATTCTTTTTACCGGGAAAATGCTTACATTTCATATTCTACAAACAAAGCTTGTCAAATTTTAGTACTTATGTAACGATGAAAAGTGTAAAATTCAGCTTTTAACCTGTTTCAAAGTTCCCTCGAACGTTAAGCAAAATTCGAAGCAATCCTAGACATTGCGTCAAAATTCACTTGTGTGAGCTGTTTCAAATTTGGTGCATTCGCAGCGAAAAAATGTGTTTACTTGACGTCATAAGTCACGTTTTATTTCTCATTGAGTGTCGGGGCGCATCTAGCTTTCAGGAAACCGGAGGTTGACGGGCAAAGTGAAGAGATACCCTGCTAAGGGGGACCAAAAACGTCATGCACCGTTCCTAATGATGGATGGCACAATCTTCGTCTAGGATTTTTTTTTTTGGTACTCAATTTCCCTCATTTGACTGTAGTACTTTCCATTTAGTCTCCGGCTAAACGGGGGGGGGGGGGTTGCAACACCCTCTAGATCCGCCTCTAAGTGTAACCATCTTTATTTCACCCTGAGTGAGACCAGCTTGAAGAGCAATTCAGGTGTGGTGCGAAAACGAACATATGCATGGAATTGTGAAGCCAGGTCACATTAAAAAAAAATTGGACTGCAAAGTCGCAAGTTAAGCACCTGTCAATTCAAGCGAATTTCACCCCAAAATGTTTTGAGACGGTAGCGTCTGATATAATCGCTTCATCATAGATGTGCATCAAGCTAAATGCTAAGAGAAATCAATCACCAGTGTACATAATCTCCTCGCTTTAATCCATGTGGTAGGTGTTCGGAAAAACCGGAGTAAAGGTGGTCGCCAGGAGTACAGGCGCAAACCTGATGAGAAAGACTTCTCACCCTCTACGTCGGGCAAGAAACGAAAATATAAAATTGGTAATTCAAGGTCAACCATAGAGCTCTTTAAAAACAGAGTGCGCGCTCCGTATTCTACGTGCGCAGTAATCGTGTGCCGACATGGACGCGCAGCCTCCATTGCAATCGTGGACAGATGAGCTAAAAAGTGCCCGAAAGTGATATAACTGCGTGCTGCGTTGTTTCGCAGAGACCAGAATGTGCTTCTGTCACATTTGTCAGTACGTATCACACGTTACGGGCAATACGAACACGCGCGCTCCTGGCACCGTTGCACCCACAGACATAGATTTATGTCTATGGTTGCACCACAGTGGCAATGGCGGTCGTTGCTTCAAGTCACGTCACGCGACGACTACGTACTCTAGATTTTATAGAGCTCTGTGAGGCCAATATAACAACAACTGCATACCTCGTAATGCTCACCTTCTGCTAAGATTGTTTGGTATCAATCTCCTTTAAACTTGAACGCAAAGTGGGGCATCATCTTTCTGGCGGGGGGGGACGGTCGAATCCTGAAGACGCTTTTCAAGCAGAGGCCGTTGTAATTTTGAAATATTCAACGCAACCAATGAAACAGCTGTTGCCCTTTAAACAATCGCTAAGAGTGTTCTTATTACAGCGACTTTACGAGACACCACAGATCGTATGTACCAATGTCAATATTAACGTCAAAATACATACATGGTGCAACTACATATACCTAACTTCTTGTCGCCTTACTATGCAGACTTTCCAAAATGTATTTGACGTCAATTTTGCGATCGTATAACAGGAGACGATTTTTTTATCTTCGTTATATTTACGATTTTGAGCAAATGGAGTTTTGACGCATACGTTGACAGCCTTCACGATTTGCCATGTTCCCCTAAATCCTCTGTAGTTTACACTTCTGGACGATAGATCTGAACATCAAAGAAACCAAAAGTAGAGCGGTTTTGACGGCATCTATTACTTGACCCAGATTCCGCAGTACTTTGAAAATGTAGAAAATTGTGTCCTGTGTTTGATGTTCCTACAATACCATTTCTTTTACGAATTCTTTTAATTCACATAGCTTTGGAGTTTTCGAAGCGACTGCTCGAGATCGAACCCGAGGCGCTCAAAATCAGTGTAGCAGACGATCTCAAAGCCTGTTTTTGCTCCGGTGACAAGACGAAGTATGTGACCGGTATGCAAATACTGGCCGAGTTAGCTGACCGAGCCTTGCTAACGACTGTTCGCTGGGCAAAGAAGATTCCAGGTGGGCTGCCTGTTGGCGGGAAAAGTTGGCACTCGACGTTGCAGGGAAAATTTGTCTGCATAGTGGTTTGCCGTACTCAAAGCTCTGTTTCGCCTCACAGCACACTCCTCTGGGCTGACCCGAAATCATTTTGGAAGCCTTCGACTGGGGGCCGAAAAAAGACACAAAAGGCACAAAACGTCTTGGTCAGTTCTTCCGTATTGTAATATCTACAGAAGAAATCAGATTAATCATTTTTAAACGGTTGATTTAGGCCGAATTAAAACATTTATAAGCTCATTAATAGGTCGGTTCTAAGTCAGGAATAATGTCATACATAAATTTCGATTTATTCAGTAATTCCAAATTCAAATTGTCTCACGTTCACTGCATAATTTTTCGTGGATTGTCGGAGTTTTTTCCCTGCTAACATCCAGGGAAAAGTACTTCACTTCCTCATCTAGCCATTAATTTACAGTATTTCCTTGTAACGGATGTGACATTTCAGATTTTGACAAGTTGTGCCTGAGCGACCAAATGGCGCTCCTGAGCAACTCGTGGATGGAGATCCTCCTACTTAACGTGATCTACCGAAATGCCGTCCTTCCCGCGCCCAGCGAGGGAGGGGGAATCGTCGTCCTCGCCAACGGGCTCAAGGTGTACCGGGAAGACATCGGGCAGGGGAAGTCATCACCCCTCATCTTCGAGCAGATCATGAATCTCGTGGACCGGATGCGTCCGCTCAGACTCAGCAAGGCGGTTATTGTGATTCTGAAAGTCATGGTGCTTTTCAACGCAGGTACTGTCAAGAATTATTTAGGCCTAGTTGTCCTTTTCCCCCCAAGTTTCTCAGTATCAGAAGTTGGAAAAAAAAGTGGTTTGTTCTTGCTGGAAAATCTAATGCATCCTACTCTTTTCCGCATTACAAGATCCTAGTGTTTTACCGTAACATGAAAAACAGATGCTTGTTTTATAGGCCTAAAGGTTTTTATTTCTATAAAATTCAATATAGTTATAACAAATCATGTTATCACAATTTAATATTGTTCACTCATTTAAAATGTTCATTCACATCAAACGCGCAGTCCGTAAAGTGTGGTTACTTTCGGCATCCTGAATATCTGTTGCAGTGACCCTCTCTCAGTATGAAAGCATATTTATGTTGAAGTTTTTTTCTTTGTTCAAAACATTTCTTGAAAGCAGATTGTTATACTTTCATACTTTAGGGCCATCCTTATTTTTAGGAGAAAATACTCGAATTTTTAATACTGCACACACTTCACTCACATCCAGTATTCAGAAAAAGTTGCCGCAATATACAGGGAAACTTTGGCAGCATTTTAAGAGGTTCCGAATCCCAATTAAAAACAAGTTAGGCCTCGATTGGTACTCGGATGTGGATTAGCCTCCCCCCGACAAAAATGTAAAAAGTTGAAGCTTTTGACATTTTTGGCACAACATAATTGAGGAGGTAAACTTAAAAGTTTCGTCCGGTTGACTGTCCTTGTATACCACGATAGGTCCATCCTTGTCGAACCGCCTCCCTCTGAAGTCCCACAAGGAGCTCTTGGAGATGCATGCAACCGTCCACGATGCCTTGCACTACCGCATCCAGCAGGAGCATTCTGGCAACGCCCGCCTGGTCTATCACCTCATGATGATACTGCCCTTGATTAAGGACACCGCCCTGACCATCACCAGCCTGATCTGGGGCGGGTTCTTCCGTGAGCGGGTGCCCATGCAGCAGCTGCTCAAGGAGGTCCTGCAGCCCATCCTGCAGGCGGGCGAGAGGAATTGTCCGGCCACGGTGAGCCCGGCCCATCACGACGACCGGGCAGAGACCTCATCAGCTGTGCCCGGGCGACCGTCCGACACCAGCATCTAGACGGAAACTGTCTGCAACTGCGATCCTAAAGTGTTACCGTGCCCTTCCGGGATGTCACAGTGACCGACTGGTTTGGCAGACACAAGATTTACAAACGAAGTTAAATTGTCAACATTATGAAATGAAACTGACGGAAATAAAAGGAGTTCAAATTTATCGTCCCGATAGAGCTTGCCGCAAAGGAGGGCACAATTACGAAGCCATTAAATTTTCAAATGTTGCTTAAAATTGACTTAGATAAAGTCTCATGAAATTATGTCTCCCCTTTATGCCTTTATTGTCCCTTGTGTTTCTTTCATTTGATTTTCGAACACGTTCACGTTTTGTTTCTTACATTTTGATTGCCATGAAATTCAGAACATAACTTACAAAAGTTCACCAAATATAAATGCCAAATATGACTAAAGTATAACTCAGACCTTTCGCTGCATTTGAAGTGTTTCCAACATTTGCAGGTTTCTTGTGGAAATACTACCATTACGATACGAACTATCAAGAGATTCAAGTCACCATCTTGTAGACACCACTATAGCAAATCCTTGTATTCAGCTTCAGTGCAAAAATATGAAAATCCCTTACAATGTAAGACTTCATTTGAATGTATTACTTTAGTTGCCTTGAAGAGTGTGCCGTTTATTCTTTACGTATTCTTATGTGTAAATCGATTGTCAGAAAAACTGTGAGTAGGGAGTTAGAGCTGCTTTCCCCAAATGAACACGGAATAGATCATTATGAGTTGCTCTGTTGTAAAACTTAACTTTATCAACTTAAAACGTTAATCAGCAAGCAGTCACACGAAAGCAGTCACATTTAAACACATGAATCTATGTATAATCCTCAAATGCCTTTGATGCTTCTGGCAGTAGTGGACGTGTAATGACAGCCAACATGAAGTTTAAACTTATATCCAAACTTATTTTAGCCTACGTTCCAATGTCTAATATTAAACTCTAAAAAAAAATTGTTGCGTCCTGAAAAGAATCACTTGCCTCCCAACCGTTTGGTCCTCAATGTAGCTATTAAAACGAGTGTATTTGTATATCCAGAAGAACCAACTCCAAGAGCTTTGTATTGTAAAATACTATGACCGAATCCAAGGAGTGCGGACCTGCTTCCATCGGATGAGGCTCTCTCCTGAAGATCCCGCAGATCAGGAATTATCTGACTTCTCCATTTTAATCTGTTGTACTCACTCCAACAGAAAACAAAGCAGAAGATTTGACCTGAAGAACGTAGAAGATAATGTGTGCTCAAATCCGTCAAACATTTCAGATTAAGGTCGAGATTCTATTTTCAACATCCTTTTTTATGCCTCGACAGCTACCGTAAAAGATCATGACTTAACCATAAATACGAGAAGAGCGTAGATATGAACCCTAATTACTGATCATGTGGGTCAAATAAGTGCTCTTTGTACCTCTTGTGAGTTGGCTATTCATGTTATCAGATTTCATACGCCATCTTCACATCAGCCATGATCGAACCTTTATTATCTTATCTGCCCTGACCCATGGGCTATTTAAGACCACATGGCAGTAATTATTTTGAGCCCCGAGAATCTTGTGTTCTGCCGTGGCGGTTTCGTTGGGCAGTCAATTTATACACCACCAATGGCAGATGAACGCCATTTTGTTGACAACAGCGAGCCAAGAGAGGCGGGCTATCCGAGGAGTCAGCTATCCCCAGACAGTTTTGTTCCGAAGTTGTGTTTAAACGAGAAGAGCGTCATCGGGGGGAAAGACAGCGATGCGGCTGCGCTACCCCGCCGACTCTGCGCTGTGTGTGAGGGGTTCGCCACCGGGTACCACTACGGTGTGGCGTCGTGCGAAGCCTGTAAAGCCTTCTTCAAAAGAACAGTTCAAAGTGGGTAGTTCACATCATGCGTAGATATTACACTGGCGATTTCAGCTCAGAACTTGAGGAATGTATTTATATTCAGTTAGTTATTAGTTTGGAAACTTTGTTAAATAGCAAATGTGTGCATTTTGACCAATATTAGGTAACAAATACTGCATCTTGCGACTTTAATTAGGAACTTTTGAAGTCGAAGGAGTGAACCGAGGGTCGACATTTCACATCAGAGGAAGCGTTACAAGAAAGTGATAGGCGCTGATGGATGAAGCGCTGGTTTTGCAGAGCGCCACCATTAAATATGTTTGCCTCGCTTATAGTATAGAAACAAAACCTTACATTTCCTTTGCAGTCAATATACCTAACCATTGAGGATCACACAAACGAAAAATTATTTTTAAAAAGTATTAAACATTATTCTTCATCAACGTCGATGGAAAAGAAAGCCTGGTAGTACAAAGAAAAAAATTCTTATCTTGTCGCCTTTTATTTTTACGACAGCGGGAAAAAAGCAGGGCTTGTTCAGTCTTGTCAGTCTGACGAGATAGTCTTGTTAGTGTGACGAGGTAGCTTGTCGATATGACAAGTGGAATTCCGTCATTTGTTTGGTGGTTATTTTGGGTACAAGTCACACTGTAGAAGATTGCAGATTGTACGTCAGATTCTCGTGTCTGAAATTTTGGCCAAAAAATGTACACACACTGTCAAAGGGTAAATTACTTGTTTCTGCTATGTTTGCCAGATAGCAAACGTTGCAAAACGTCACATTTCTTTCATTTTGTGCGTTGATTGGCCTAAATTAAAGGATTCGCCTTGTTTCCCAACAGGAAACTTGTGCTATTCGTGTTCTGAGGATGGACGGTGCGACGTGTTTCACGGTAAGAGACGGACCTGCCAGGCTTGCCGATACGACAAGTGCATTCAGGTTGGCATGATGGTCAGCGGTAAGTTGGAATGAAATGATTACCGCTTCTGCCGTTGAAACAAGTTTGACTTTGCTGAGTTCGTCCACCAAGTTGGAACTCTTTTTTTTTTCATGCTTTACTGGTGCAGATCCTGCCTTCTCAGAAAGGTGGGCGTCAAGCATTTACCAAAGGGGAGGGAACGCCCAAAATGGAGGTGAAACCCCAGCGAGGCATAATTTTTCCAATGATGATTATTTCCTGTTTTTAGTTGAGAGCTAAAGAATTCACGGAAAACGGAGAAGGTATCTCTAAAAACATCGAAGAATGGAAGAGGCCCTTGTTGCGCTCTGTTGCTCCAATAAAGCTTCTGGGAAGAGCAATTGAACGCATTTTCCAGATATCAGAAACGCAAGGAAATATGAACGAAGGGGATTCACCAAGCTCTTTGATAGCTAATCTAGTTGTCGTCCTTTTGAATATTAGGCCCTAAACCAATCATTCCATCTAATTATTGTAGCAGATTGGGTATGGAAAAAAGTCAACCTATAAAACAAAACTGAGACAAGAAGTTCCTTATCCGAAAAATGCTTCTGTTTATTGGTGCAGGTGTTCGGCTGAATCGAACTAAAGGTGGGAGACAGGAATACAGACGCAGACCTGATGAGCTTGGCTTCACGTCCGTAAATTCTGGGAAGAACCAGAGAAGGGCAAGAGATGAGAGTACGCAAGAACATGGAGACTTGTCACAATTTTGATGCTATTCGAAGATTTCTATTGCCCCATCCGATATGCAATAGAAGAGTGCTGTTGCCAGTTTTTGTCAATGAATGAGCTAGTTCAGTTCTCCAACAGCGCATGTCCGAAAAGGAAGCGCGCCTGAGGTCATACGGGAACGGCAATACATGCGGTCCGACTCGCCCGCGTACTTTGTTCTGGAACGACCTTGCCTTTCGAATACTGAACTGGCTCATTGTTCTGAGCCAAGGCAGTGCTGCCAACGGGATCAGCATTGGCCTTGGCTGAAGCTCAGCATTTGCACCGATTTCGTTTTCCACACAGACTCCATTCCGCGGTACTGATAACTTTAGAAAATTTGGGTCTTGTAAAGGCTTCCGATAAAAGCCTTTTACATTTTTTCAAAGGAATACTTTTATTGTGGTACTGTAAATTCACAGTCTTCGATCGACTGTGCCCTAGCTTGTCCAAGTGGACTCTAAATCTCATTCAAAGTCATTTTGTTGCCAGATTGGTCCCTGGGCACCAAAAGGTAAAACTTACCAACATTCACAGGTTAAGACATGCCCCCCCCCCCGAGGAGGGTTAGAACTGGCTTTTTACACATTCCATTTGGTAAATTTTCTGAAAAGGTATGCCATAGCCCAAAACACCCTGATTATAATTTGTCCCACTGTATCTAAAAGAAATTATCAAAGCATGGAAGTTTGGGGGAAAAAACACGCTGTTATATGCAATGCCCTGACTCTTTTTTTTTAATAATCAATAATCTGCAAATAAGTGTGTCTATCCAAACGATTGGTCGGACACATAATTATCTACCAGCTTTTGGTTGTTTTGCATCATTTCTGATTGTTTTAACCAGATTTAGAGACAACTGGCGATGCAAAAATTGACTACTAGAAAAAAGTATGCTCTAGACTTGATTTCACATCCATGATTCAAAACCACAAGTTTCTAACCTCTATTAACAAGAACGGAATGGTTTTCCTCTTGGTTTGAATGTCAACAGTGTCTGATTTCTGCAAGACCCTGCTGGAGATTGAGCCAGGGGTTCTTCACATCATTCTGCCGGACGCTTCTTCGGACGGCTTGGATCAGTATCACGCCGCGGGTGGCAGACCTCCCATCCAAAAGTTGTGGATGGAGCGACTGGCTGAAGCTGCAGACCGGGCCTTGACCAATACCGTCCAATGGGCCAAGAAAGTCCCGGGTACGCAATTTTTCAGCGACTCGTTAAATAAGACAAAAGTTGCTTTCTGAGAGGTAATTTGGCTTGCAACGGTGAGCAGTTGCTGACTTGGGCTCTAGTCAGTGTTGCAAAAGGAATGTGATTTTTTTTTAAATGACGGTGATCAGAAAATTTACACAAATCCAATAAAGATAACAAAGTAACACTCGGACAACGTTTTGATTGGTCGTTAAAAGGAAATTTTTGAAAATAAGTTTCTTTCCAATGACTTCAATTTAACAAAGGGTCCCAACACATTGAAAGCAACATTCAACTTAAAGCACTTAGAGAAAATTAAAGGAAAAGAATGGGCTTTGGCAGTCTGCCAAAGCCAAAAAAAGTAATTTTAAAGCAATTAAACAAAATCAAACAAAACTATGTGAATTTATACAAAATGTAAATAAAATAAGCAGATGAATTGCATCCTCAAATTTGAGTTGTGCCCAAAGTCCAAACCCTGCTTGTCAGAAACCATGGGAAAAGAGTAAAAAGCATGCTATATAAAACTCAATAAAATAAAGCCAAGAAGCAATGGAAATGTTTGCATGCAGTACAAACTGGTGAATTTAACTTGGAGGGCTCGAGAGTGCCGGACTGCAGAGCCTCTGGTCTGAGCCAATTTGAGGAAAAAGTAACACAGAATTTAAGTTATGCATTGACACATAATGGTGGATGTGCTTGACAGTGTGCTTGGCCGGTAGCTTGAGGCAGTCTTCGGGAAAATTCTCCCTCTTCACCGCTAGCTGTCTCGGCTTGCGTCAGGTCCAGGTCACTATACTCAAAGCTGATCAAGCGCTCCCCAACATGTCAATGTGGCCCTCTGATGGATCTTAGCATTCTAAGCCTTGTATAGCCCACACGTTACTTCACAGAGCTAAACTAAACAAAAGATATGCCAAAGAACTTAAATGCAGCATGTGTGGGGCATTCATTCAGATGCCAGACTTGCCGTTCAGTTGTATGTACGGTGGCATTCAGTTTCATTCTTTTAACGCTGGACAGGTGGCATGCCAACAAGAACTACAAGTTGGAAATTAAAGCCTTACACACTGAAGAGAAAAAACTTACGTGAAACAACTCAGTGTAGTTGGGGCTATTGGCAGTCAGTAAAATTGTTTGACTTGGCTCTTGGCTTTGGAAATATCTTCCAGGTTGACTAGAACAAAATAACTTGGGACTTAACTTGAAAATTTAACCTGTTGACAAACGCAGAAGTAATCGTGTCCATTTCCATGCTATTTACTGATGAAATGGCGAATAGGCAGACAGGCTAGACCCATTTGCCAAAACTAGAAGGTAGCGCCAATGATACATAAAGAATGTCAAAAGTGTACAACTGCTGTCAGTTATGACGTCAGTTATTGGCTTCAAAAAAGGTACTGTGGATTCGGATTGGGAAAAGATGAGATGCAACTCGATTACAGACTCGGGGAAAATAACTTGTGAGGTTGTTACAGTACTGCTGGATTTGAGTGTGTGCCATGGGCGTAAATCCTGGGGGGGGGCACTGTGAGTATTATATGTTTACCGCTTTACTTTTTGACCAAGGGGTGGGCTATTGAACTATTCCGACCCCCCCCCCCAAAAAAAAGAAATCGGGGTGAGAAAAAAAAAGACGCAGGCTATGAAGAATTGTTTAGACCTCCCCAAAACCAAAATATATTCGCCAGCACTTAAAAAGGAGAACAGTTTTAACAGTCATAAATACCGCTCTGATATAAGATTCTGCAGGAAAGTGATGCATATTATGTATCTGCTCCACGAGCATCGCACCTAAATAGTGTCATATGGCGTTAGCATACCCCCCTCCGCGCTTTTCAAATTTCCATGACCGGGCAAGTCATCCCCCTACCACAGTTTCCCCATCCCCACCCGGAATTCCGGCACAAATTTACGCTGCTGGTGTGTGCATATTTTGTTGGAACGTTCCAGTTGTCTGCATCTGTTTACAGGCTTCGACAAATTGTGCCTGAATGATCAGATGGCCCTGCTCTGCAACTCGTGGATGGAAATCTTGCTGGCGAATGTGATCTACCGGTCCACGCAAATTCCACCCTACGGAGACAACTCGACCATGATCTACTTCGCAGACGGCTTCGTCGTGACCAAGGAGATGTGTCACGGAACGCGCAGGGCTCCCCTTATTTACAGCCAGATTGTCAACATTGTCGAGAGACTCAGAGAGCTCAACATTAGCAGGGTGATCATGGTGCTTCTGAAAGCGGCCATTCTACTGAATTCGGGTGATCTATTCATTTTCCTTCTTTGTGACATAAGTGCTTAGGTAGTTTATACAACAGTAACATTTGCATCATTTTTGTAAGGATAAAAGCTTCCTACGCACATTACTGCCATGACAAAGTGTTTGTCAAAAGACAATGCGAACAAACCAAGTCAAGCCCAAAACAATTACTCTCACCGCCAGTGGTTTCTGCCTGAGATTCGCAGTCATATTGCCTTGTAAATGGTCTTTGGTTGGTCAGTTCATAGAGGAAGGACACAGAAGGAGTTTGAACTGCTTGGGATGTAATATCTGGCCAATTGCCGCTTTCTGGCATGCCTGGTATATCCAAAGCCAGAGCGCAGCGAACGCTTGCTTCACAGCATGTGTTCCACAACCACGAAACCCCTTTGTACCCTATAATCGGCTGCCGCAATAAACCGCTTGCGAGTTAAATTTGAATAAAATCTGGTATACTGTGCTATCTGAAACAGAAACGTAGCAATTTGAATTCCCCGGACTAAAGATACTGTTGCTATACCTCTGATTCAGGGCAAGCTTTTGCATAGCGACCACCTTTGTGCCGTTCTTATCCATTGAGAATAGTGTATTGTTGCAAGGCATCTCTTATCTGACTAAGCAAAAGCTTGCCCTGAATCGCGAGGTATAACAAAAGTGGTTTTAGTATTGAGAATTCAAGCTGTTATGTTCACGTGAACTTAAAGAATTCAATGTACAAGATATTAATATTCAAATTTAACTCGCAAATAGCTTATTTGTAGCTGCTAATCTACATACTTTGTGCACTGAGGTATAGGAAATTTAATATTCATGCATTTGTTGGTGCTTGGTATGATCGCCAGACAGCATCCCATTAAATGCTTGAGCAGTTGCTTGCATTACGCTGTGTGCCCTAAATCTATATTATGTGCAGTCATTGCCCTTAATGAGCTCTTTCTTCTGGAGTTATTTTGGGAATAAAAAGCCCAGTTGTTTGCAAGATTTTGTGTTTTGTTTGAATCAAAGGTCTAATATTAGGGATTTTTCTCTCTCTCTATTTCCTGGTCACAACAATAATTTGTATTTAATTGCAAGTAAAACACTACAAGTATTGCTGGGATATTACTGGCCCCACTTATCCCGCTAAGATGCAAGCAGTAATCAGACATTTTTGGAATGTTTTCTATTATTCGTCTGACTCGGCGGCGACCATCATTGAATACTTTTAAGCGTCAGGGTTGAAACCTCCTTCCTCCTGTGTCCTTCCAGCTTGGTCGGTTCGACTCACGTGAAATTGGGATTCACCATTGCACCACCACAGTATTTAAAAAGTTAACACTCAATCCGTGCTAGGCCAACCGATCCCACTACCCACCGCTACTTAAAAGCGAGGCCTGTGCAGCAAAATAGCCTGCAAGAACTGTGATGCTATGATGCAATAGAGTGGCACACTTATAAGTGAGGCTAGTCAGCGTCAAAAAAAGTTGGAGACAGAAAGCTCGAACAAGCCTCACTTATAAGTGTGCCTACTGTATTGCATCACACGATAATATATTAGCACCACAGTTAGAGTATGGCCATTTAGCTGCACAGGCATCACTTATAAGTAGCGGTGGGTAGTTGGATCGGGTGGCTAGGCGGTGTGCTCATTGCTAGGCAAACTAGGCATTTTGTCCACGTTTTCGGCTGTTCAAGACATGCTATGAATGTATTTTTATTAAAGGCATTGGGTTTCTTTGTAGTGCTCGAACGAATTTATCATTAATAGATTATTAATGAAAGCAAGAGATGGTGACAGCCGCAAAGTTAAAGGGGTACTCTTTGGTGCAGTAGCTCGTGGCACCTCTGTTGGTAGATCCTTCTTGACCAAACGCTCTTTTCATTTACATTCATTTAAAGGTCCGTCGCTAGCCAACCGCATTTCACTGCAGTCACCCCGCGAGGTGCGACAGCTCCAGGAAACCGTCTACACCGAGTTGCACTACCGCATCAACCAAGAGCATCCGGGCGACTCTCGTCTAGTGTACCACCTCCTCATGATCCTGCCGCTCATGGGTGCACCCTGGTAATTA